TGTGTGTGTGTGTGTCTCCCTCTCTGTGTGTCCGTCACTCTATCTATCTCTCTCCGCTTCTGTGTCTGTCATCTACTCTGTCTGTCCGTTTGTCTGTCCGCCGTCTGTTTGTCTAATTTCCAGTGTGCGTGTTTGTCCTTCTCCCTTTTTACTTTGTGCATTGTTGTTCCCTTTGCATATTTATTTGTATGTTTAGTTTTTTTAATTTTTCATTATTATTTTGTATGTGGATGTGTGTTGGTGGGCGAGTGAGTGTATGTGGTTGTTTGCGTTGTATGTTGTTCGAATGAGCGAGCACCATTGTGTAATCGGATGTGCGAATCGTGAATTGCACGTGCGACAAGGGCTCGGTGCGAGATGAATAAGTTGAGTCGTTTGTGGCTCGACTGGTGCGATTGTGACACGGGAACACGTGTGTGGCGTGCATTTGCGTGCGTGCAATGTTTTCGTGTTTTATTTGGCAATCGTTTCCGGACAAAAGTGATCATCGTTTTTGTAGGTGATATTTCTCAAATCTAGTTGTTTTTGTGGTCGTTATTGTATTTTATGTGATGTTGATTGGTGAGAAATTGTACGTGTATTAGTTTGAATGTTAGGGAGTGTTTTTTTTGATGTGTGTGTGTGTGTGTTTGTGTTTGTGGGTGTGGGTGTGATGTGGATGATAATGTGATTGTAAATGTGAATGGATGACGTGGAGGAGCATGGGCAGAGCTGTGATATGATAAGACGCTATGTTTTGTGATATGGTGTGTTGTGTTTTGTAGTGTTGTTTAGTTGTGTTGTTTTGTTTTGATGAGATGTTTTGTAGTGTGATGTGAAGTTGTTCGGCTCGATAGATACTGGTTTGTTTGGCAATGAGTGATGGTGTACGATTACTTTGTTTGTGATCCGATTTATTGTTTGATTGACACACACTTGACCTATCGGGACTATATGTGGTTGTTGGCCACTCGAAATCTCAGGGTCTGGTTGTTCGTTATCCCCAGTAGTGTAGTGGGTTTTCGTGGCTATGGGGTAAATGCCCCTTCAACTGCACTGATGCGCGAACATGTAATAAAAAAACATACTCCATGTCGATTGATTCATGTATTTCGGTCTTTTTTTCCACGGTTTTTGTGTTTTTATGTTGATTAGTGGCAATTTGTTGATGTTTTTGTGCGGCTTTTGAACGGGGAGAATGTTGTAAGGACTACAAGTGCAAGTAGAAGTCGAACTGGGAGTAGGAGTAGGAATGAGATGGTAGGTGAGACTTTTTTTTGCTGTAGTGTTTCGTGTTGGTGCTGTTACAGTAGAGATGAGGTGTTTGTGAGAAAGGTTTCTCTTCTTCTCGAGAACAACTGATAAATTAGGTTAAGAATGTGAGCGTGGTTGTGAATGTGTGTTGATGGTGTATGTTGTGCTAGCATTCTGAAGTGCTCGTGGCGTCTAATTCGTTTCTGAGCTCCAGAAGAATGCCATATGAAGGGGGCGAGCGAACAGATGACTTTATTCGCTGGATGAGTGAAGTTGTTCGTGATTCTCACATCACTTGTATAGTTATTGTTTTGAATTGTCAGTGAAATTGTGGAATTTTTTCTGTTTGAGAATGTGTAATGTCTTAATCCTCCCCATCGTATTGCATTAAACAGTAGGGTGGGTTGTAAGGACTACAAGTGCAAGTAGAAGTCGAACTGGGAGTAGGAGTAGGAATGAGATGGTAGGTGAGACTTTTTCGCTGTAGTGTTTCGTGTTGGTGCTGTTACGGTCGAGATGAGATGTTTATGAGCCTTGTTGGTCTAATAAATATGAATGTGTTGGTGATTGATTGTTTGTTTGTTCTATTGGTTTGATTGTGCAGTTCTCATCTATGTTGTATATTTTATCTTGAGTTGTTTGAAGAAACCTTCCCGTGTCTGATGTACTGAACTTCCACGATGGAATTTCAGTTTTGCAAAGCTTGAGTGGGTTGGCTGCGTTGCATTGTTCGGTTGTTGTCCCGCCTGCGGTGAGGCTGTTTTATTCGGAACCTTGTTTTTCTACTTGATGGCGTCGGTGTCTGCTTGATGCTCTCGTTTTAGATGTGATCATTTCATTATTTCCGGTATGTCGTAGCCATCTGCGCCAGCGCACCTAGTGTATGATAATTTTGCGTTCATCTTGATTTTTCTCTCACATTGTTCTCTGCGTTGATGGAGTCGATCCGCTGTATAATTGTTTGACGCGATTTCCTCTTTGATCGATTTTTTTATGGTAGATTTGCAAACTGTGAACATCACTTTGCGTATCTTGTTCCGACCTGAACCGGCTTTGCTGCCAAAAATCTACCAGAATTTGGGTTTTGACTACGAAGAGCGTGTGCTTCCCTCCATCACTACCGAGGTGCTCAAGGCGGTTGTTGCCCAGTTTGATGCAAGTGAATTGATCACTCAGCGAGAACTTGTCAGTCAACGAGTGAACGAGGATTTAACCGAACGCGCCTCATCATTCGGAATCCTTTTGGATGACATTGCTCTGGTAAGCCGTTATGAGAGTTCACAATCCGTTTGCCGATAGGGTTTTTTGACGGGTTCTCACCTAACCACTCTCAGTCGGATATCTTTTACTTACTCCATTCAATGACGATCACCCTAGTATTTAACCGGTGGTTTGCGATTTGTATAACTTGTTAGTGAAACTAGCAATTCGTTCTCTAAACTTCCTCACTGCTGTTCATTTGTGGAGTAGTAGGCAAAGAGCATAATACCGTACTCTTTTCCGTACCGCTCCAAATCAAAAGACCAACTCACAATGAGCATTTGTGTCCGTGGTTTAACCCCTAATATTACTACTTATTCGATTAATACGTGTACTCAACCGTGGTAATCGAACAACGCCGTCACTTAGTTCCGAATTAATCGCTTTCAGCGGAACGGAAAGTCAATTTCTAGGGTCAAGGCAGAGTCCGAATGCAACCACGCCATTGGCCGCGACACCTGGCCATATCACTTAATGTCTCCAACCATTTGGTAGGTGGGTAGCGTGGACCCCAACCAGGAAGTCTAACACGTCCTACTGGGCCAAGTCCACTGGTCAAGGTTTTCATACCTCCTTGCCATGTCATGAACTATCCACCTTGACCTACCTTCCAATCACTACCTGCCTCAGAGAACAGCGTACGCCGAGGAAGCCGATCGGTGGACATGCGTAACACATGTCCCAACCACCTTAATCTGTTTTGATTCGGTACTTAATCCAGAGACTGATCTCTAGGTCCCAACACCTTACGTCTAACCTCAGCATTGCTAATACCGTGTTCCCGCCATATTCGGGCAACGGTACGGGGATATCAATGCTCGAACACTAACAGTTTTCGTCTATCTTCTTCCCTTAAGACCATGTTTCTGAGCCGTATAGAAGAACGGACCCAACCGCCAAATGGTACACTCGACCGCCGAGAGATAACTAGATGTCACGGCGACGCCACGAATGGCTGAGGTTGGTGAAAACCAAGTGCTGCTTCTGTATACACGATGACACTTCATCCGATATCCGTTCACCTGGTGAGATGTAACTGCCCAGGTAACAAAATTTATCCACTTCAACTAGAGCTCCCCCTGTCAAGAAGAGGTTTGATGTGACGCAAACCCAGTCCTCCAGCAACAGCTTACACTTTGAAGGTGCAAAACACATCCCAAACTGTTGTTAAGGCTATCTGAGGAAGCATGCAACCTACCTGGATCTTCACTCAGAGGAACAAAATCATCCGCACAGTCAGTTTCTGCATGAGTGAAGATCGACACCACTACTCTCACACGAAGAAAGAGCTATCTGAAGAATCAGTTCAACTACAAAATTGCAGATGAAACGTGAAGGAGGGCAACCCTGACGAAAACCTCTCCGTGGTGAACTTGGGTGAACACGGCTTCGGCTGTTCGAGTACACGCATTGGAGAAGAGAAATAAACCATTGCATGTAAGGCTTACTTGAACCACAGTCCTATGAAGCAATAGACGCGGCATACAAGGTTTCCTTGATATGTTGCCAGCGTTCATCTGGGCCGTGCACATCCGGCTGCATCGATAACCATGTACGCAGCTCCGCCTGAAAAGCAGATCTCCGGTTGTCGTTCAGAAGCAACTGCACAGTTCGGGGCATTTACTTTGGTGCGACCACGTACGAGACGTAAACAGAAACGAGCACGTACCAAGGTGTGATCTGAGTCCACGGGCGTAGACGAAAAAGAACGAAAATCTTCAATCGATCCACGCCATCGGCGACTAAACACAATATCGTCAGTCTGAGTCCAACGTTTGAAGACGTCGGAGGACGCCAAGCGGGTCTATGCCACTTTTGTTGGAAGTTCGTACTCGCCAGAAACAATCTGTTGTCAGAGCACAGCTGAATGAGACGATCAGCAGTATCAGTGCGATAGACTGGGATAGCAAATGGGCCTTCAATGTCCCTTTCGGAATCTCCCAAACGACCAACTCGGGTGTTGAAATCCCCAGCAATGACCGCCACGGCAACATTGCATTGAAGCTTCTGTTTTTTGTTGTTGACACGGACAGAACCGCTTAATCGAACTGCACACAAACTACTACTGCTCAGCCCTCGTTTTCAAACCAATCCCAACACCAGCCTGACCACGAACACTAGAAACCCGATAACCCGACACGCGAAAAGTGAAGCAAAAGACTGAGGTTATATGTGGGGTGCGAAGTGTGATCACAGAAATGGGGTGTTGTATGCGCGTTTCGGAGGCACAGCACACATCTACCTTAAGTGTCAAGAGTTTTAGCGCGGGCAGCATGTTGCCCTATCTGACAGTGTGCGGACGGTAAAGGCAGCCAAGTGAAGTGGACATTTAAGCTTAAGGAGTGCATTCGGTTTATACCCAACTCCTGAACTGCTACTTTCTTCAAAGCCGCAATGACCCGTGGCGTTGGTAAAGCCTTTTGCAGGAAAGATGCTGAAGGACGAGATCTACTGCTTGACCCGACGGCCAGAAGGGAAAACTGTTCAACCAAAACGGTCGCATGGACCCCTGGGTCATGATTACCTCTACCGAATGGCGAACGAGCTCCTAGAGAGCCACCGACATCCATGCACAATGGGTACGTTGGGTGTCTTGGATTGGTAGACCACCATTGAAAAGGCGTATGAGCCGCTCGGTCGGTTACCGGTTCCGAACACACGATCTGTCTGTTGCCCGACAGGTAGCACTTGATTGTGCACGGACTAAACCCGCAACCTCGAACAAAAAGCCGAGTAACACTGGGGTCGCTACTCTGTACATTATTCCCAAGACTCTTCACGGGTTTCGCTGCTATAGTACACACTAATCATGCTACGGCGTCCCTGAGAAGCGACGAGCCTCGCTTTATCCCAGCGACCGACAACAATGCGACGACGTTTTCGGAGACCGCAACAGATTAACCGTCTTCAGCACTCACTTCCAACGTCCCAGACAAAATCCGCTGACGTGGTACTCAAACAACGGTCACGTTGCACACTAGATCGACTATATACTGGTACGATCTCGCCGGGCGTCCTCGATCGAAGACTGCTGGTCCTGCAGAGGTATAGAGACACACTATTGTCCGTACACGCCTCAAGGTCCACTTAGCCGATCACAAATAATCCTATGCCTCAAGAAGAATTGACGTAGCGGCCCTAGGATCGCCGACAAAACGAAGAGCAATATCGCAAACTATCATCGCTCATCTAGCCGGTCACCTAGTAAGTGAAGAAACATCGGTAAAACAACAATGAAATTCACTGAAATCGTCTATCAAGCAATCTGCGGTCGACGAACTGGGTACTATACGACAACGCCGGAAGAACTGAATACCGGAGATGACCCTCCATTTATCTAAAAGAGCTAGAGACGTCCGCCTAAATGGCCTCCATGGCTTTCGAGAGGTTTGGCGAGAAGCAACTCGCTCGGTGAGAGAAGGCCGAAAAAACTGCTGGTCCAAGGTCGCAAATAATTGTGGTGACTTTTCAAAAATTCCGCCTCATTCGAAGTGCATCCGGCAGGCGACAGCCAGTAGAACCACTCCATCGCAACGCTACCGGGCTTCTGATCCCGGGAAAACGGAAAATGATGCAGAGATGTATCGAGCACGTTGACAATCTACCAAATCATCCCACGGCAAGTTTGGAAAGTCAAATCCTCACAATCCAAAGAGAAATTTAGGACATCATTATCAGCCCTCTGTCCCTTGTGGACATTGCAGCTGTGATACACAATTTGAAAAAGTGAAAAGCTCCGGAAGAAGAAGGCATCGGACTGGAGGTATATAAATCCTGCCTTCCAACACTAGTAGAACCTATCCACACGCTGCTTTGTTCAGTTGGAGAATAAAAACTCTTGATGGACTAGGGGAACCTCAATCCTGCCCCCTTTCCCAAAAGAGGTGATAGAACAGTGTGCGACAACTACCGTGGGATCAGCCTGATAGACGTGGCTGCGTAAAAACTTCTCCGGGCTCCTACTGAACCGCTTCTCAACTGTGAGGGACGCACACACTCGTCCCCATCAAGTAGGCTTCCACTGCGGTAGGGGATGCGTGAACCACATTTACTCTTCATCGAGTACTACAGGCTTTCCTGTCGTTTGAGAGCCTATGACGATCGTTTAAGATCCTGTTTTGATCGTTTATGGTCGAATGGCGGTCAACGAGAGCGTTCGATGAAGCTTAGAATATCATGGCTAACACTGTGGTTCGCTGTCTGTTCGTTCACTTTGGTCGATGGGGTGAGGACACTAATTGTCACCTATATTTTATAAAACAAACTTAGTCGAATGGACATATTGGCACGCATGCGAAATACTCATAATATCATATAGAAAAACAGTCCGACAATTGATACATTAAGCTAAATGCATTAACCGAACAAATTGCAGATTGCTTGAACCTCACACTGATTGGGATACCATTTTACGGATCGGTCCAGTGGTGAACGGGTTATATTTTGATCCACAATGCCGGATCGAAATGATAACACTGAGAAAGTTACGTGGCGATCCTAATGTTTACTGTTCGATTGCATTTATTTATATCACGGGGCCGAAATAGCCCACAATGACCGTCGGGCAAATGTGTTTTAAATGTAGGTATTTTCACGATTTGCGTTTATGCCTACAAGTTACCATACGTTTTGGAGGAAAGTCTAAAAGTAAAATTGTGTATGTCGTAAGAAGCACAAACTATTGGAGTGATTCTCTGCATAGCTTGGGTTCCAACAAATTATAGCAGTGGCCTCTGATGGTTTGTCCGTCGGGTACCCGCAAAATTGTCACTTTGTGTGCAATTAACAGTTGCTTCACTGTATTCTCGAAACCACTAAAGACTTTTTCAATGGGATTGAAAAATGGACTGTAAGGTGGAACAAGGTGAGTTGCATGTCCCGGGTCCAACATAGCGGTTTCCGTCTGCCTGTGAGTAGGGACGTTGTCAAATAAAATTACAGCTGATGCACACGGCTGTTCTGCATCGACTTTTACTGAACGTTTCTCAAGAGAGAAAACG